GAACTGTATGAACTAAATGGCAAAACAGCCAACTCTTGCTTGCGGGCACCTCGTGTGCAAAGAAAGTCAGTTTTACAACCTGCCATTCAGGCAAGCTGTAACTAGCATGTACAAGCCCACAAGTCATTTCAACTAGCCCCAAAACCCTTTTTGATTAGCAGGATTGATTACAATCCTTGAGTAATTTGAAGTTCCCCAAAACAGCACTTGCCCGTCGGGCAAGTTAAGAACAAAAATTGCTAGCCCGAAAGCAAAATCCACTAGCCCTGGGCTATAGGACACGACATTCTTTGCCACTAAATGGACACCCTTATAATATGGATAAATAAATTTCAGACATTTGCCTGAAATAAACTCCTGCTATAACCAACTCTTGCCAATGTGGACACCAACTGAAGGTCCCTACAGTTGACTGTACCCCCTTGAGGTCAATTGTTCCCCACTTGTTCTTTTGGCTTGAAATATGCATTTTTAAGATGTAAGCTGACAGTGAGAGTATATGGGTATAAAATGCCTACAGGCATTTCTGGAGCAAAACAAAATGATCATGGAGCATGTACACTGTAGTATTGGAGGCAGGGATTTGGAGGTACATTAATTAAATTGTGTTTAGACCTCCTGTCAGAAACTATGAAACTGTTTTGATTTTACCCACCAATTATTCTTACCTTGTAATCATTAGGAAATATGGGAGAAATCTGACGGCAAACAAGTTTAATATTTTGTCCTGGTAGGTAGTAAATAGTCCATGCACGAGGATATAGAGCATGATAGGTAGCATGGCAACCATTGAAACCCCAGTTCCATCCCTGTAAACTGCGGCCACAAAGAACCCCATTAGGACGGTTTGGAGAAAGCACAGCCTACAAAATATGTCACGCAATTTACTGTACTACTTCATAAAGATGACTGGAAGACAAAAATGGGGTGCTCACATTACTATTTTCAAATAGTTAAATTAGCTTGATTGCTTTGAACATACCTGGTATGTTGTTCGTCCTTTTTTCCTCACACAAACAATAAACTGTAATAATCCAACATAAACAAAAATACTGGTCAGTGCTTATTTATGGAGATAGCATCTAGGACTAGAGGCAAGTCTTGCACTAATAATACTATAATTATCCTAAAAGGAAAACATAGGAGACCTTTCAATACCTTCCAATCAATGAATAGTATTATAAGATACCTTTTTACATTGTAATAATATTATTCATTCTCCTTTAAATCCCCAATAGAGGGAGACTCAGGGAGACATGAGATTTTAACTTTCACTAACTTGATTAGCCTCTACATAGGTGTAATTGTACATTCCTGGAGAGATCTGCCATCTGTTAAATTCTCCCTTCCATCCTCTTCCAATGCTACCACATCCTATCCCACCAAGAGGAACACCTGAAATGAATTTATTTTACATGTATTTACCGCATGAAGAAATATACAGCTATATTAAAAAAAGGTTGCTTTAGTAATTGGGTATTGGGCATTTGGGCGTATGGAACAATGCAATGATTTACTCGAGTGACTGCCAAACAATAGCTTCCCAATGCCAAATTCCTGATGCCCAAAGCAACCTGTATTGAATCAGCTAAAAACACCATATTTGTATCAAGATGATCTTGGCACAAGCTACTCATTCAAAGCATTAACTTTCCATTAGTGTCACTATCTGCATTTTAAAAACCCCATGAAAAGTCATGCAACTAAAGAAGACACACAGTGCAACAAACAATATGCGCATTTGTACACAAATACAAAAGCTTAAATGCTGGTGTAAATGAAGTCTGGTTTCTGTGTTCTTAGTTCAAAAGCTAACTTACCATCTCTTTAATTCAAAATTAAGCGTAAAGGTTCCTAACATAATTGAACCAATAACTGTATTCAAGCAAAAAGAGCCTTTTTATACACAAAGTTTATATTCCACCATGCCAATTCACAAAAAGAACATACCTGGGTGACATACAGTTGACAAATTAAAGAGTAATATTATGGTATTTTATGGAAAGGTATACGCAGCTTCAACACCATTGTCTCACCATTTTGACATAACAACATTTTTTAAGTACGGTATCACCAGGGCATAAAAATCAAAGCAAAATAATCAGTCAAGTATTTTCATTTTTTTTATTTGACTGTCTGCACCAATCCGACCTTTGTTCTCTAATACAATTATCACACCCAAAGTTTCTCAATTCCAAAATGTTTTAACCATCAATTTTGTTTCCACAGGAGGTTTGAAATCAGTATTCTAATTTAATTAAGTTTCCTAAGAAAATTACAATGTTTGGCGAAAAAAAAAAGGATGAACCCCAGCTACCTTTTAGTTTATTCACTATCAAAGAACAACCGCTCTACTTGTGTTCTTTGTTTAGAGAGTTTTATACTGTGTATGGCTATTTTGAGACCTAAGGGGGATAAATAAACTGACTTGTTTTGTTTGGTCTCAAAAACAATTATTAGCTGTCTGTCTTCAACAAAGTATATGTGTGGAAATATAAATTAAAACTTGTTTTAAACATTTCCAACTTCTTTTTGTCTTTTTTCTTGAGTACTTATTTGTAATTAAAAACCACTATTTTCTGCACAACAAACACGACAGAAAATTTTCAGAAAATTGGCAAGGACACGGAAGATTATTATACACCTGTCGGTAAACATCACACTTATCTCACCTGCTAAGGAGAATATATTAGTGCTTAACATGTTTCAGAGTTATTCTCCACGGGTAACTGTTTGTGGAGATTGTAAAATTACCAGTAAGCTTACCTTGTAAAAAATGATCAGAATTATATCGGAGTTTCCATTTGATGTCAATATCCGGTGTAACGCAGTCTTTCGATTGTTATATCTAACTTGAAATCTTTAACTATAATTTCGTTAATTGTAATCTTATGAATAAAAAATTTGGGGAGATATCCTTCACTTTGCATTCTTCATTTGACAGTTTCTGCGATAAAACATGACCTTAACGCGATTCTTCAAAACTCGTCTTTGCGAAAAGAGACCGGCCAGTTAAATTTTTCATTCAAAGGTTTTCTTCGTGTATCAGAGCACACGAAAATCAACTGGCCGTTAATTTTGGTAAAAAGCAAGATAATTCAGAAATTTAAATTAAATATTAGATCGATTTTCCTTGCGACAACGCATGCATCAACGATAGAGATACCGCAACGGCCAAAATTCTTTTTGAATGAAACTTCAGCTTATAATCGCAACGTGTCAAGAATATTTAAGTATAGGTAATTATGTCACTTCAGCTAAGTTAGACATACCATAAACCTGCCGACAAGGATTTGTGGAAAATGGGTCTATAAACGGTACTCTTCCATTCTTTCTTTCTCTCGTAGCGTATTTCATGAATCTGAAAATAACCGCGAAAATGTGAACAGCATGCATGTAATCCGCCGGCCGGCGAATTGAAAGAAAACACAAACAAACAAAGTCACTGTTCGGCGTGGCATAATACCTCCATGCCAGACCAAGTAGCCGTGGTATTTGGCTCCACCGAGGAAGATAACATGGCTGAGGCTTAAGTGAAAATGTGTTATCCAGATGCACTCTCCATCCATACCTAGGAAGCGAGTCTTCGCTGTCCTCGTCAGATGACTGTGTCGCCATTTTGTGTGAGGTCCTTGTGAGGACAGGACAACTGAAAGCCTGCGATGGTTTATTTACCGTTCAGCGGATATTGTTTCAAAAGGGTTTTTCCGTGTATAACGTTTCGCAACTGTCCAATAACAGCCTGCGTTGCGAGCGGGAAAGCGAACGTTTCCGGCCTCGCTAGTTTGTTGAAGGAAGATGGAACGTTTTTTGCTCTCGCTGCAACTTTCGTGCAAAAACTCGATTCCAGACGCTCGCTACGCAGGCTACTCAAAATATGCATTTTTTCATGCTGGCAAACCGTCTTCTTAAAATTGATACGTATGCTGTTGCCCAGTCAACGTTGACGGAAATAACACTCCTTTTTTCTTTCAGGATATATTTTATAAGAATTTTGAGGCTGAAATTTGCGAAATTTTAAGAATACCGAGACTGAAAATTTGAAAATGACACAATTTTGTATTGAAAGTAAATACAGTACAATTTGTGTTTCTAACTTATTCCTTCCACTAAAATGCAAGAAAACTGGCAATTCAAACCCCCTATATTCTAAAGCGGAAATACCATAAGCTAAAATTCATAATTAAGAATAATTCAAGAATATTTTTAGCCTAAACTCGACAGAACAATAAGAATATTCTACCTGGGCGTTTCAGGATTACAGTCGTTTTCCAATTATTCCCAGCTCATCCTCAATTTTTTTTTTCAGTCTCAGCAAACAAACAAAAACACGTGAACGGAAATTTTCATGATCATGGGAACATACTGTATTAATTATAAGCCACCCCAGGACAGTAAAGGAGGTAGATATAAACTCAGGGATATAAGTTTTTCCACTGAAAATAAATACACACGTTATTCACGAAATTTTGGGTGGATGAGCACCTGACATCAGAAGAAGTGATTTTCGGTTTATCCATTAAATCAAGATTCTCAGTCCACTTAAATATGACAAAAAGGAAGAAAAGATAAGAAAAAGAATACAAGAGAATTTGCAGGGAGAAGATACCCAACTTTAATTCATCGTGCATTTAATCAATATTGATGTAGCCCGAGGCGTCACCAATGAAATTTTAATAATTTGAGTGCGACGAATAAATATATTTTTACTGTTATTTTCTATTAATTTTATTTTTTTACCTTTCCTTCGCCCTTTCTTGTTCATTCTTTTTACTCTTTAATGCAAGCTGGTCAGTTGTTTTAATTTGTTTGTTTGTTTTGTTTTTTTCTTTTACTTTTCCGGCTATACTTTAAGGCTTTGGCCTATTTGAAAATAATGCATTACCTTACATTACATTACACTACATTACACTACAATCTGCCAAGGATTGTTGCGTCACAACAGTTAATGACGTCAAAATGAGAGAATGCGCGGTTTGCGCGCAGGCCGTAAGTAACTTATGTTTGGGCTTGCTGTCTTCTCTGTTCTGATTGGCTGTATTGTGATTCCTATCATCTATATTACTACTAAATGCTTATATTTTTTCGTTGGCTATGGGCGGTCCTTTGGAAGTTGGGATGATGAAAGTGAAAGCGATCTAGACCAAGATGAGCTGTTAAGAAGACATGGGTATGAAATCGCTGGCAAAATAGGCCAGGGAACTTACGCTGATGTGAAAAAAGCTTACTCTATCAACCTTCAAAAGGATGTCGCTGTCAAAATTGTGAGCAAAACTGAGGTAAAAAATAATTACAAAGTAGTACAGATCATAGTAGTCAGTGCATGCCAAATTTTTTTTTTGGAAAAATGCGAAACTGATATCAACCTTTGCTCTTGTATTCTGACAAAAACTCTCTATGCCAACATTATATTAACTGTATATTGTTTTCTATAAAAGTAGAAAAACCCTCGCAGCCAAAGCACGAGCATCGGAGGCTCTCTTTTTTTCTTTATCTAATGACCAATCAGAGCGTGTGTTCTATTTTCTGATCCAGTAAATTGGATTTCATAATTGTTAGTAAATAATTCTCTTCCAAGATTGGCTCAGGAAAAAGTGACAGATTCTTGAAGAGAGAGATTGAAATCCTAAAATGGCTGAACCATAAGAACGTTATTCGAGTGCATGATCTTATCGACGGAAGGCATCAGTTCTTCATTATAATGGAGCTCGCGTCAAACGGAGATCTTCTTAATCTGTTACATAAACGTACCAAACTGCCTGAAGATGAGGCTAGAGTTATCTTTAAATCTATTATGGATGGTGTACTCCACTGCCACAGAAAGGGTGAGTGTCATGTATTTGCCGCAAGTGTACCAGGATGCTCAGTTTTCATTTTCATTTGGCCAGGTAGAGTTCAGCCGAGAGCTGGGTTTGCAATTCTAAGAACAAGACTCGATCGAGGGAAGAAGCTTGTTCAAACTTTTATCTGCAGAGCCGTTATTATTTGTAATGCTTCATTGTATTGGTTTATAGTCTATTTTATCAGAAAGTTTAGAAGATACATAGATATGTCCTTCAGTTTTTCCTTCTTATCACTGATTTCTAAAAAAAGAAGAACTAAGAAATTTTTAGACCGTATGTCTTATCTATTTTGCCATTTTCACACAATCAAATTGGAAAGAGTTGATATATTACTGAAGTCTCCAGAGGTTTTCTACTGCATCTGACAGTCTAACTCTTCCTTGCTAAGCGACCGATTTTCTGGTTGTCATCTGAATTTTTTGTATTTAGTCTCGTGACAAAAATGTTGTTCGTTCATTTCCTTTTACTAGGAGTAACCCACAGAGATCTCAAGCTTGAAAACATTTTACTCTCTGAAGATAACCAGCCCATCGTTACCGATTTTGGTTTTGCGCGGTATATCGGAAGCATCGAGAATCAAAGAGCGCGAAGTAGAACCTTCTGTGGCTCGTACGCTTACGTGGCACCAGAGATACTTCAAGGTACTCATGTTACCCTTGACTGTTATCTCGTGATCGCCTATGGTCCTTTTTTCCTGTTTTTCAGTAACTTTTACCACAGAAAACTACAGTAGAATCCCGATTTCTCGAACCCAGTCAGTTTTTCAAACCGTCCAATAATTCGAAGGTGATCAAAGATGCCTCTAGATATTTATGATAAATACATTTAGCCAGGACAAAAAGCGAAGGAGAATCATGGATCTTGTAACCACTTCGAAGAAATCTATCTTGAATAAAAAAGCTTTCCACACCCGGTAATTATGGGTACTTTCAAGAAATGGCTCCCTAAGGATTTTACGACAAACTTCGAGTTTTTCCTCTCAGAGGATTTCCACATTCAAAAAAGAGGGAACTTTAGGCTCCGATCAGTGAAAAACTTCAAAACACCATGAGATTTTTATAGGTCGATACCTGAGCCCGCAATACGGTCATATGATACTGATCAGCGGATACCCCGTTTGACAGCTGTCAATTGATCATAACATAAATGTGCAATATCAATCTGCAGGCTGCCACACTAGCTAGAATTAGAAAGTGTGACTTTTCACCTGGTTTTGGCGAACGGACGTACGGTCACGTGACTACCAAATTTTCTCTGATAGATAGTTTATTTCACTGGGTTCCCGGAGAAAACGCCACCGGGTTGGCTGACTGGGATTTTTTCAGCGAGAGGAACTGAAAGATTTACTCTTTTTGATGCGAGATCGATTACTTGCACCCGCTGATTTTCAATACAGTTTAGGCTATGTGCATTACCTTCTCAACTGTTGCTTGAGTTGTTGCCTTAGTACAGTGCCTTTGTTCATGTCACAGGTATCCCTTATGATGGCATGGCCAGCGATGTCTGGAGTCTTGGTGTAGTTCTTTACACTATGGTTTGCGGCAGCTTCCCATTTGATGATTCCGACCCGAAACATCTTTTGAAGCAAACGACTTCCGGTCAACTGGGATACCCTGTTACAGCTTTGACTCTCTCTCCTCAGGTACGATAAAATTTGTTCACTCTCCATCAGGACGGATAAAGCGAGACAAAGTAAACAAGTTAATTCAGTAAACATGGTCCCTAACAAAGATCTCTTCATATCTCTTAAGTTCGTTTAGGTCGGAAAATTACTTTTGCGGGAAATGCGACAAACGCAAGAAAATGTATTTTTCGGAAGTCCATAAACCCTAGGGTGGTCAGTCCGGGACCGGTAACTTAACGATAACAGTGTTTGCAGAATCAAAGATGACTCAACTTATTTCCTCTTTTCTTTTTCAGATTAAGGAACTCATTAGCAAAATGTTAACACCCCAAGTGAAGGAACGGGTCACCTTGACTGAAGCAATGAATCACCCTTGGTTCCATAATCAATGAACAACTGCTATATGTTACTGATTATAACTCACAAGACAATCTAGATATCTCTTGTGCAATTCTTTATTTTTTGTATTTCTATTCTTATGATTACTGAAGTATTCTGCTTCAGCTCTAGTAGTAAGCGATCTGCACACTCAAATGAAAAAAAACAGAGGAATTAAAGACAGATCATGTTGCCCTATATTCTCAGTTTTACAAACTTCACTCAAATGTAAGGTTTGTGAGAGAAGTCAGAGAGAATGACAGATTTTTTGAAGGAGAAGTTGAAATGTTGTTTGAATTCTTAGTCACATGATTCGGAATCGGAATACACTCTAAAATTTGATGCATGTCTGATTTGAACGCCTTCTTAGTTCTGGTAGACCTAAAACATATAGTTTGAACATTCTGCCTCAAAATACAAACACCACAACATAAGTTATTGTTTGTTTTGCTTTCCGCTTTGCTACTATGCTAACGAGAGCGTGGCGAGGGGGGCGGGGGGGAGTGGGGGCTTTGGATTACCTTCGCTAACTCACCCCTGCCAACGAACGAAGTGAGAAGCGAACGCTTAGATTCTGCAACTTTGTTTTGTTCGTTGGCCCTTGCTGGATATTTTAAACTAGCCTGCGTAGCTGTCGGGATTAGCGTTGGAGCGCTGTATGAGTATACAAGTCAATTTGAAGTAAATATGAAACGGTAAACTGATCCTTACAGCAAGGCGATTAAGAAGTAAAAAGGCGGAAGAATAAAACAAAAAATATATATTTAAACAATTTGTATTTAAATATATACATATTATTCTTTTGTTTACTTCTTCATCGCCTTGCCGTAAGGATCAGTTTGTCGTTTCACATTTGTCTACAAGTTTAATTGTACTGATCCAGGTCTACAACTGGGAGATCCGACACCACTCATTGGTTTGTTGCTGTGGACTTGCTGACATTTTTTATATCAATTTGAAGTCCCGGCAGGATTTTCCCTCGCGGGAAAGTACCCCAGGGACAAGAATCCCGCCAGCTAGGCGCTACGGAAGCTATGATAAATTTTGAAAAAGTGCCATTGGGGAGGAGGGGCTGTCCAGCCCCACCCATCCCCTCCAACTCGATAGATCCTTGACTAGCACTGTCACACAACAAAAAAATAAAGTGGAAACCGTCCAGTGGAAGAAGCCAAGAAAATGAAATGTTATATAAGACTTGTATATAAACTATTTGTCCAAGTCTCAGGTCTTTGTGGCCCACAGTTTCTGAGTTATTTGCCGTAACGCTTCACGTACCTTTGTAGAGCTTTGTATGGAGACGCCATATTGGTGTACCGTTTTGGTGCACCAATATGGCCGCCGGAAATCAACAAAAACATCTGGAGTTTACTCTTCCTATAAAAACCCTTTTTTTCATTCGAGAACTGGCACACGTGCGCATAAACATTTCTTCTAATACTTGAAATGGTTATACTGCTGAATCGAAAATCAAGAGAAGAGACTTCAGTTTCAACGAGACAGCATTCTTATATTGGTGTCACGCACTGTGAAAACTCGGAAGTTCAAATTGCTGTATTTTTTAAATGAAACATGCCACGGGAATGGAAACTTGTACAAACGTTTACTTTTTGTTTATCTTCAACCTCGTGTAAATAAAAATTCGTAGCCTGCGTAGCAGGCGTCGAAACGGGTAGGGGGTAGGGGATAGGGAGGAAGGGAAAAAGGGGAGGGGGATTGGGGAGAGGGGGAGGGGAGGGGACGCCTGCTCTAAGAACCCCCTTTTTTTCATATCTGCGGACGCTGGCGTCCGCAAATTCCTGATTGGCTGAGCCGTAATGAGTAACATATTGAAATACGCGTTTCACAAATCAACAAACAGTCGAGATGGCAGCGGTAGACGTGGATGTCGTAGAGAGTGCTTTGAGAGATGTGAATTTATCTAGTGGTAGAGAAACTGTTTTAAAACCAGAGCAAGAATCAGCAGTAAGGGCTCTTTTAGCCGACAGAGATGTTCTGGCGGTTTTGCGGACCGGATACGGCAAGAGTTTAATTTACCAAATGTTTGTACGCGCGAAGAACTACGAGCTAAATGGTAATGCGGCGATTCTCGTCATTTCGCCACTGAAAAGTATTATCGAAGACCAGTTGCAGGAGATGGAATTGTTGGGCTTATAGAGCTTATTTAAGGGATTAGGCGCCCGTCCAGCGAAAGATTTAGCCAATTTATCGAACGATGACATTCGCCGATGTAACTTAGCAATAAAAGAGGGTGGTTTTACCTCATGCCAAAATGCTGCTTATATCCAATAAAGTTGTTTTTATCTGCTGGGTAGATTATGCTCTGGTCTGCATTTATACTGAGCAAATGTTATTTAAGCCGCATGTTTCACACTGAGAGGTCATGACATACATATCGATTGACTGTAGTTACAGGTAGTTATTGTTTCCTGGTCGGCATGATTTGCCCTCTGATGCAAGCGCAATTTCTTTGACCTCTTTTGAAGCGTAAAGCTTTTTTATTACGGCTGAATAAGGGTTCCAATTTTCTCCAAAGTGCCTTCTGGATCTGAATAACTAAGTGAATTTCTTTAGTCCGTGAGTGTAATGTTTTTCTGCATGGCGAGTGTAGCGACACTTGATTGACAGTAAGCGTAATTGGATTACTAGAAAATTGGTAGGCGTTATGCAAAAACATAGGCTCTTAGAGCAGGCGCTCCCTTTCCTTTTCCCTTTCTCCCTCCCCCCTCCCCCTCCCCTTTTTGCGCCTGCCACGCAGGCTAAAAAATTCGTAAAACCTCGCTATTTTGAATTTACAATTTGATGACGTCACTGTGAAAACCATCTATTGTTGTCTGTAGTCACTGATTCTGTTATGAACTTTCGGTGCGCAACGTTTTTATGAAGTTTTTTCGTTTTGAGAGCTTGGACAATAACATTGTTATGTTGTTAGTTCAGTGACAGTGTAACTAAGAACAATTCGCAGAAGAGACAGAAGACGTCCTCAGCAGCAGGGGACTGGGTGCTAATGTAACTCATCCCATAATATTAAACGTTGTTATTCGAAATTCCCTCCATTTTCCTCAGCGCAGCAGCGCAGGTTAGTGCACGATCGCAAGGTGCCTCCCCTTGCTTTCTTAGTTTTTCATTGTTTGAGAGAGATTCTTGATACATGAGGGATGGCAACGCAAGTTATCGGCGTGGAGCAAGAAGACGGGCGCTGGAATGAATCGACTGGCGCCTTCAGAGGCGAAGGTAATCACACACTGTGGTGATTTACAGGATTACCACTGTACTTATTGTCGGTCGATTGACGAATTTCTCTTTCACTTGTATATGCTGAAACGTTTCACAGATGCTGGTCCCGAGAGAGCTTCAGGCTCCGAAATGGATGAACAACGCAAGCAACAGATGGCTTATCAATACTTATGTCACCTGGAAGAAGCTAAAGTGTGCGTAGCAGCTAAGTTGGCAGTTGTAACCAGCTGAATTTCTGCATAATTTTACTAGTGTATTACTGTAGTATTAGGATTGTAACGAGAGGAACACCCAGCTGTTTATCTAATATTGATATTTATCACTAATCATGCCTTTTGGTCTCGTCTGTAGATGGATGGAAGCATGTCTAAAAGAGGAATTACCAGCTACTACTGAACTCGAAGAGGCATTCAGAAACGGTGTGTTCTTGGCAAAGCTGGGTAATTTCTTTTCTCCAGAGACGATTCCTCTGCGCAAAATATTCGACAAAGATTTTAAAGTTTTGAACGTAAGTAATATTCCTGTTAGCTGTTTACCTGCGTCTGTGGCGCATACCCTATGTAAACTTTGCAACCATTCTTAAAGCTTACACGTATAGTTTAAGCTAATTGCTTTAGTTGTTTCTCTTTGTTTTGTAGTCTCGAGGTCTCCACTTTCGCCACACGGATAATATTAATTTCTTTATAAATGGTTGCAGTAAAGTTGGTCTTCCAAAGGTTAGAGAAATATTTTTGTGATTTACATAAGCCAACATTTTATTCGTTTATGCAGAAACCCATTTAAATGTTGTCCATGGCTATAATGTTTATTTTGCTAAGTGGGTTTGTCGCGCGTGACTCCTATTTTTCACTCGTGCAGTGATTAGCGCGCTCTTTTAACCCCAGAGAAGAGATTTATCGTTACATAAAATCAATTTGACTTGCACCTCTTTATAGAGTAGGTCATGTGGGCATTTTTAATGCGTTATAATTTGGGCTGAGGTGAAATAAAAATTTATAGTTACAATTTAATACATTTCTGCACGAATCTTAGTAAATGTCAATTAACAAATACGATGTTATTTCTTCCAAGGTTTTCTTTCCTGAGACGACCGACATTTATGATAGAAAGAACATGCCAAAGCTGATTTATTGCATTCATGCTTTAAGGTAAACCCCCCCACCCAAAACAGTCTGATCTCAAAGTTTCATGACAAAGAATTTTTGGCGGAAAATATATGATTGTTAAACAATGAGCATAGTGAATTCATGATATTCTGCACAAAGAACTTTGTGTCACTGCTTTATTTAGGTCATTACAATCAAAATAGACAGTGATGTTTAGGCACATTATGAATTGCTTAGCGCAGCAACTGGCAAATTGCCATCCTCTGGCTCCCTATTTTTTTCCAGGCTGGATATGTTGTATGTAAAATCAATTTCAGGTTAAGCCAGTATTCACTCTTGTTTGATCTGTAAATTTCCTTGTTCCTTTGACTCTCTTAAGAAATGTCTTTGTTCCGTTGACTCTCTTAGGAAATTTCTTTGTTCCATTGACTCTTATAGTAGTCAAAGGAAATGCAGGTTTAACCTGAGAACAGATTTTACCCATAACAGATACATGTAGACCCTTTTGCTTGAGTTTACTAGCCAGGGGTAATTTGGTCAATAATTGGAGATGCCTGTGTTTAAATAAATTTATGAAAATTTGCTTAAAATACTTTATTGACAATCAGTGCTTTTTTATTGGTTAGTACACATCAATTTCATAGTTGGTGATTGGAAGTCAGTTTATTCCTTTTGTCTTATCACACATAAAATGGCTCTTCAATATCAATGTGGAATTGTGTAAAAACATTTTTGTCATTTTGATGGGTATTAATAACTATTGCATGTATGATTCCTAATAGTGATGGCATATCATATTGGTAGTATGTATTGTAAGTCTTGAAATGGTTGAGTAAATATAACTCAACAAAAAACCAAGGATGGAAACGCCAACTTTTTGGCTCTCTGTGCTTCCTTATTAGCAAAGACGTGACCCATGTGGGAGAGGAATTAAATTGACCAAGAACAGTCAATGTAACAGGATACTAGCTCAAGTAAAATGCTGTGTTTACCTGCCATTTCACGTTAATATTGGCATTAACAAATGCTAAACCTTTTTAGTGATGTAATCACATCAGTATGCAAAAATTACTTTCAAAAAAAGATTATTGTTCAAAGAAAATTTGCCAAAATTGCAAGTGATGATTTTCTTGTTTTTTGCTGTTATTTATTGGTTGTGAACTTGTTTTCACTTAAAAACTCTGGTAGTCAGTGTTATTACTCCTTTTTCCTCTAGCAATTTAAATAACAATAATAAATCATTACCTCTTCAGTCATGGGACTGCTATCGTTGAGGTCCTCATAAATAGATTCAAGCGAAAAAAATGGAAAAGAATATTATTTTAAAAAAATGCATTAAAACTATCCCAATAAAAAAGTAAAAAAAACTGTCTTAATTAGAGAAATTCTTAGAAACCATCCTTATACACTTTATCCTCTCATTTCCTTCTTTGTTGTTGCCCTTTTTATTGCTTAAGTTGGAAGGATAACCTTAGCAGAAATTTACTTTTCTTTAGTTTGTACCTGTTCAAGTTAGGATTGGCACCACAAATACAGGATCTGTATGGCAAGGCCACATTTACTGGTAATTTAGAAATTAAATACATCTTAATAAAATTATTATTGTTTAACTTGAAGTGTACATAAAGACTTGAACAGATGTCATGTTTCTAATAATGTTATTTTTAAAGTTTTTTTGTTGGTAAGCAAAGCTTTAAAGTAGGAAATATAACAATCACATTTGTTTTTAGAGGAACAGATTAGTGCTATGAGAAAAGAGCTGGAAAAATATGGAATTCAAATGCCAGCATTTAGCAAGATTGGAGGCATTTTAGAAAGTGAGGTACGTAAAAACGGACCAAACAGGTATCAATGCATAGTAAGGTTTGTTTCTTGGGAAAATAATATTACAGTGTACTATCACTCCTGCTAGCCTACTGTTACCACTGCTACTATTGTGCTTCTACCCCCTGCTTGCAATCCCTTAGCCACCACCATTTCTATAGTTACACTCAGTCTCTTTCCCACAGTCAATTCTACTGTTACTCCCATTGTCTTCTTAAGTCACTGCCACCCCTCCTCATTCAATCCCATTCTTGTTTTCACTGCTACTTCCATTTTCGCTTCTATAATCACTCCCACTTCCACAACCATCGCCATTCACTGTCACTTCTACTCTTTTCCTGTCATCCTGTCCTACTAACAATCAGGGTTGTCACTAAGATTTCAAGTTGCCAGGGAAATGCAACAGGTATGCAGGGAATCAAATGGCTAGGGATTTCTTTTCTTTCTGTGTTTCTTCTATTTGCCTATGAAAGTAGCTGGGGGCCAAATTCATAAGAGCCGGGGGAAAACCCAGGCCCCCGCCTCTTAATGACAGTCCTACTGACACTCATGATCTTTCTGCCAAATTCACTTCCATTAACACTGCCACTCTTTGTTCCACATTTACTCCCATTACCACCCCCACTCTTTCTCCCACGTTCACTCCCCTCACCACTCCCACTCTTTCTCCTACATTAACTCTTATCACCACCCCCATTCTTTCTCCCACATTCACTCCCATTACCAGTCCCACTTTTTCTTCCACATCCACTCCCATCACCACACCCCTTCTTTTACTCACATTTGTTCCACGTTCTGTTTTCTTTGATACTGTCAGTAAAACTCCCTGTCCATGTTTCATTTTGATTTTCATTTCCACTAGCATTGCCTTTACCTCCAGCACTGCCACTTTGATTGTTATCATTTCACTCTTTATCACTGTCACTGCTATTACTACTAAATGCAGTTTTTTTTACTAAGTGGAAAAAACGTTTACTTTACCAGGGCTGTCATTAAGGGCTGGGGATTTTTTAGATACTATGAGTGTGCCCGCTGGCTATTTTCATAAAAAAAACTAAAGGCAATTACAACCAAAGGTTTTTAGTTTGTTTGTTGAACTGGAACTGTTTCTTATTGCAGATGCCTGTGGATGAGGCAGCTTGTAAGTATATTGCATTGGAGCTTGTAACTTTACAGTGCAACAAATAAAATGGTTTTGCAGTTAAAAGTTTTACAGTCTTTCACTTAAAATAAACAAAAGGAAAAAAAAATGACTTCAGTGCTTCAGTTTTTTGACTGATCAGTCACAGTATGACTTAATATCTGTTCTAACAGAGTAAACCTTGGAGTTTTGTTTATTCAGCAGTTTGTGATAAATTAATCATATTTTTCTGTACAGTACATGCTGCAGTGATTGCTATAAATGATGCAATCGATCACCAAGATGCTGGCAATACTTTGGAAGCTCTGCGTAATCCTAATGCACACCTCAGAGATGTAAATGCTGAGAATTCAGAACCTTATCAATCTGCTCTGTATCAGGCAAAGAGTACTAAAGCTGCTCAAGCCATAGCTAAGGTAGGAAAAGATCTTCTAGACTTAAAAAAAAACTTGAAAAAACTGCAGGGTAACTGTGTTTGTATGTTATGCTCTGTAGTCTCCAGGCAAGGAGGGAATGGATGTCTATGACACATTATTAACCCAAGCTGAAATACAAGGAAACATCAGTCAAGTTAATGATGTGATCAGAAAACAAAAAGCAGAAGAAGCGTGTAAGTGGTTTTAAATGTATTGGGTAAAATCCAGAATTATATACATATATTTATATATACAGTGGATGAAAAATGCCAAGCTAACCAACGAGGATGCCACTTGTCAGATTCAAAATGTTTCGACCTCAACTTCATAAACCTGAATGACAAAAAGATCTACGACAAACTTCCTCACATGTCTGGCTGTTTAATACAGACGTTTCGCCCTTTGGGCCTCTTCAGTGTATTGCAAAACCAAAACCTGTCCACTGGTACTTTTGATTTTGTAAATACACTGAAGAAGCGCAAAGGGCAAAACATCTGTATTTAACACCAAGACATGTGAGGAAGTTTGGCGTAGATATCTTTGTTGTAGATCTTTTTGTCATTCAAGTTTATATATTTATATATGTATAACTGCAGACAGTACTGTTTTAGCCTTCTGGGCCTCATCAGTGCAGCTATGATGCTAGGATGGAGGTTAAGCTATATAGCCACCCCAAATGATCCCACAAAATAATGTGGTATCATCTAAGCCATGCCAGAGTGCTCTAACTAGTATATTAGTGGGCATGCGCAATGCTATGGTCATGACTCATCCTACTAGAGTGTATATATATGCATATATATACATTGTATAGCTGATAGTATTAGTAAGGTGACAGATGAATTCAATTGTTAATTTCATTTAATTTTGTTAATGTGTAATCAGAGTCTATCAGCTCTACAGTAAGATCTTTTTATAATTTTGGTACTTCAAGCTGTCGTAAATGTTTTTTCCTTTCTAGTTTAAATTTGTTTCTTGCCTTGATATTATCTCTTGGTATTGTTAACGGAAAAAAAAGTAACATAACATAACATACACTTTGGGTGCGTTCCTTTGGAATGATCCAGATCAGGATAAGTGATCCAGGATACCACGGATCATGGTAGATCAAATGAACCAAAAAATCCTTGTCCAGAGTGGATTCATCGGTTCATTTGATCTACCATAATTAGAGTGATCTTGGATCACTGATCGGATCATCCCAAAGGAACGCACCCTTTATTATGACACCTCTATATGGTGCTATTCTGTCGTAATATACAATAATAACAAAGATACAATAATAAAAATAAAATGGGGCAAAAATATTTACATCTGTTACAACAAGAAATATTTACATGAGTTTATATACAGTCATGAAAAATGTGATTCAATCTATTTAAGAAGAGTCTACAGGAAAGTGGGCTGCGACTTTCCTTTTAAAACTTGAGATCTTGTTTAAGTTCCGAATGTTTTATGGGAGTAGGTTGTATTCTTTTGCCCCACGAAAGGTGAAAGAGCGTTGACCAGTTGATAATCTGTATGTAGGTAGATTTAACTGTGACATATCTCTAGTGTTATATTCCTAGAAAGATCTTTAATTATAATATTGTCTTTATAGTATTGGTAAAAACTTGATTCCATTGTTTAGTGCTCGTAGTATACTGATTTAACAGTGAGGAAGATGGTGTTATAATGTTTAACAGTTATGGTTTCTTTTATGTAAGTGAATCAAGCTGTGAAAGAAATCAATGGAGCTATCAGTAGCAAAAATGAAGAAGTTCTTTTGCCAGCATTGTGCAACACGGCTGCCAGGCTATCTGGTGTCTCAACTGAAAATGGATCTTGGTATATGAAGATGCTGGGAGAGAAAAAGGAGATAAAAGAACTGCAGGTATCAATAATAGCGTCTACTTCAAGGAGCATCTGGCTTACCAGATATTAAAGAAATAACTTCTTGGGCACAGTGTTCAATCTAGGCTGCGTTTTTGCATTATTGACATTGAGTATTATATTCTGATGCAAAATAAATTATTGTGGAGTCATACTGATGCAAAAAAGTTACCTCATATAAAAGTTCTTCCAAAGCAGCAGGCAACAATAAAAGTAAACTTAAAGAAATAGCTTTGCTTACTGGCCTGTAAGCACAATGTAAAATGTTTATGTGCTTTACGTTTGCTTCTAAAACAGCAAGCAGGTGTTAGATCTGGTCAAGTACACATAGCAAGGTAATGCCTGTGACAAAAATTAAGAAATTAGGATTGGACTTATCAAACAAAATCACAACTTTGCCTTTCAGTTTAAATAATACATTTTTTGAATGGCTTTTAATGTTTTGTTCAATGTAGTGTTAAGTCCAACAGACCAACTATTCTTTTGTTTTAAATAAATTTTTGCTATCAATTTAAAAAATTCTTGACCATTTCTTGTTGTTGTGCATTTTTATAAACTAAATACTAATGAATATTGTACATTGTTTGTGTGCATACTTCTCTATAGGAATCAGGCATCTCAGATCTCACAAAAGCTGAAATCCAGGAAGCAGTGAATGCTGCTAATGACTTAGCAGATCAACACAGGCAAAGTAAATATCATCATTACCATAAGGCTGTTACATTGTACTTTTTTCAAGAGCAAGTTCCTTCTTTATGGGCCTGTTTTGAACCCCTTTTGTTTTTCTGCACAAGTGAGTAAAGTGAAAGAGGTTTTGTTTTTGGGTGGGGGAGGAAAGGGGGGGGGTGGACTGTGCTATTCAGTGAGAGTGAGTGGCCTGTACTTGCAACTCAGGAATGTATCTTTTAAGACTGAACAGTCTTCTGTTTAATATTTTTCTCATCCATTTGACTTTGTTAATCATTGTATTTCAGTGGAAGACATAGTTAAGCGCATAAACAAATCTTTAGATGATGGAACTTCAGAAGAAACCCACAACTTGGTTCGAAAACCTGAAGGAATGTTTCCAAAAGTGCTTCCAAGGAGTGCTTTCCTCTACCATGATGGGCTGTTTAAAGGCAAACAAGTATGTTTTTGTCTTATGTCTTACTAAAATACTTTGTGATAGGAAGTAATTAGAAAGTTATTAATACAATATCAACAGTCAGTTTTCCTTTTTTTATACTTTTGAACTTTTTTCTTTCCACTAGAATTCTATCCTTAATTTAATAACCTATAAAAAAGTGATTTGGCAAAAGATCTTTACCTGGCTGTTAATTTACTTATAAAATTGATATTTTTTGGCAATTTTGTCTGAGGAGTGCTGCAGATATTGTGCAGAATGAAACTAGTTAGTTATAAAATGCCAAGTCAAATCTTACGTTGATCAGAAGATCATCTTGATGATATTGCTCTAGCTTGTCTATTGACCACTCTGCCAATAGGCGTACATGCATATCAACGGGAAAATATTTTTTATCTTATTTTGCAAATTGTACTCATTTCTTTTGCAGGAATGTGAATCACTGACTCATGAGCTTATCTGTGAGCAGTTAACAGGTATTATTCAACTTCATCATCCACAGACTCGTACTGTATCTTGACATTAATTTATTCTGAAACTCCGTATGTGAGTGTTTAGTTTAACAGTTATTGTTGTCAATTTGTTATTTACTTTACTTTTCAGTATTGACAGCTGTAGCTTCCATAAATGAAGCAATTGAAAATGAGAATTCTACTCAGTTAATTAATAGAATGAACCACCCCAATGCTGGCTTGACATCAGTTGAAGACAGTCTGTGTAACAGATATTTGTCTCATTTGGTGTCCGTTAAGGAGGAGAAAGCACAGGTAAGTTCCAATGGATAACAACCAAATGATAAAACTTCTGATGAGCTGTATAAAATGACAGCAGGTATTATCATATTTCTTGGATGTAAAAAAGAGATAAGTAAATGATATTGCAAGTGTTTTGTCAGGATTTGAAGTGCATATCTAAATTATTCTAATCAAATGATATTGCAAGTGTTTTGTCAGGATTTGAAGTGCATATCTACATTATTCTAATCAAATTAAACATATCATGACTTAAAACCCCATGTGGCAGACGTCAAACCAGTTGGCAGTAAGTGAGCAGAGCCCTTGAACAAATCCAGCTATAGGTCAAAGTGGCACTCAAATCTGGCTCGTCCGAGTTGTAAACTTATCCGACTCACTGACCACCCAGCCACAATGTCTGCAGGCAATGAATACATGATGGCTGCCAGTTCACAGGGCATCCTGTGGGAGATGAAAGACTGATCTTTTTTTCAACTTGTAGGACTGTGGAGTAGGCAAAGATGATCTTACTCAGATTGAACTTCAGATTTGTGTGGACTTCGTGAACACTGTAGTCCAAGATGAACATGACTGTAAGTTATCGCACTTTATTATTTTTGGTTTATTTGTAGAATGCATTTGTAATTATTCATAAAACTCATGTTAGGATTTGGACAGCCTTAAACTGTTTGTTTTTTTATACAGTAATATCAGCAATAGCCGTGATCAATGAAGCTGTTGACAAGGGTGATCACAACAGCACATTGCAGTGCCTTCATGCTGAGGCTGCCAAGCTTTCAGGCATCACATCAGAGAATAGCCAACTCTATCAGAAGGTTCTCTACTCTCAAAAGATCGCTAAAGCTCAGGTTAGAAAATAAATAATCAGTTTGTACCAACAAAAATGTATGTTAATGTTCACTTTCTTGTCTCTCCACGCCAGAAGAGTTCGACTTTAAAATTAAGTAGCATTTGAAACACCATTCCATTTGCAGAAAACTGATGAAGATTCAGCAGAATTATGGCATGATGAGATTCAGCTTGGCTTGGATTATGCCAATAGGCACGCAAATGAGGCCAGGCAGTGTGAGTATTGTATAGTATTATTGCTTATAGACTTATAATTATATTATTGTTATGAGTTCCAGCAGTCTGGCAAAACAACTGTTATTGAACATTATGATCACTCATGGATCATTAATTTTTAAAGTGTTTGCATTTCAGTACACCTACACATCTAATGTGAAATTTAAATATTAATAAAGAACTACAAACATTCTAAAAAAAGCACTAATTCTCATCTTAGCGTGGAAAAAGATGTGATGTTACAAAATTTAACTCTCACTACCATATCTTTATTCACAAATTGCTTCTGGTGCCTACAGGCACCCACAGCCTACAGTGATAAACGGTCATCTGTTTTAACTCATACCACACTTCAAGCTACAGTCGACGTTCTCTTAACTCTATAAGACAGACACCTCGGTAAAATGGACACCTAGGGTTGGTCCCTGCCTTTCTGTACCCCCTTTAATTGCCTCTCTATAAGACAGACATCTCTCCTTGATGAACACTTAGTGCTGCAGTCCAAAAGGTGCCAGTCAGAGAGAGAGCTAACTGTACTTCATCCAGCTGTGGCCGCCACTTGAAATTCTACTGAAATCCATGTCTTCTATAACTGTCTATTTTTAATAGTGGCAGAGGGTGTCACTGCAGTAAACCAAGCTGTTGATGCAAATGATGAGAAGTTACTCATGGCAGCCCTGACATACCCTCGTGTCAGCATTTATGGTGTCACCTCACAGTGTAGTCAGCAGTACCTTGAAGAGCTTACAAAACTCAAAGATGCAAAAAAACAACCAGGTTGGTGCTGATCTTTGTTTATGGGCTAAGGAATCTGACAGAATTTTTACCACTGAGAGCACTGTACAGGAAGTACAGATAGTCAAAACTTGAGAAGATGGTTCAGGAATTTAGGATAAAATAAATGGTTACTCATCTTAATTTGTAGAGACTGATACCAAATGGCTGGAACAGAAGACACCTCAGGGACACATGTATTATTATAATACTGAAAATAATGAAGGTTGCTGGGAAAAACCTGAAGACTTTGGTAATTCATCTCTATTAACAAGGGAAGAAATTCAGGTTAGTTCAGCATGTTCAACCACGTCACCAATAATAATACCTACATGTTTTAACTACTGTCTAACTTTTATAGTTGTTACAGTTAGTAGTGATTTTACTACATTATTATATCTATTACGATTATTTATCAGTTGCATAGCTCAATCATTATGGAGAAGTTGAATGGGAAACATGGTTTTCCCTTACTTAATGAGTTTGGGTTGTGTATGGCAAGTTATTTGCCAAGTTTGTTTGCTCCATTTTATGGTTCAAGCACAGTTTGACAATACAGTACAATATGCTCTAGACAGAGCATGTCTGATACATTAAGTTACATTTCACCTTCATGTCTTACAGCATCAAAGAGAAAATGAAATGTGACTTCTTGCATCAAGAAAAATATTTTTTTCGACAAAACAGATCACACTTCACCTAAATGTTATTTAGCACACCGATGACCATGGTTACTATTTTTGCAAAATTTCTTTTGACTAGAAAAAAGCAAATTGATATAATGACTAGCAACTACTAGAATGTTACAGACTCTCCTTGTTTACAGATCTAGACTGAATCATAGTTACAGTATTTTGCATCTGGCTTTCAGAATTATCATTTTTCTTACTTATGGGCATTATGGATGTATGCAGGACTGCATAGTGTTTAAAACTTTCTGTGGAAAATGTAAACCCAACAGTCCTTAAGTGTGCATCAAGTTTCCTGTGTTGCCTTTCTTAACAGGGGCTGATATCACGAGTCACAGCCCAATATGATCGATGGGTGCATATGCAGTCCAATGAACCTTTGATCATCAAATTACAGTCTCACTGGAAAGGATACTTGGCTAGAAAGGCTTACCATGAAAGAAGAACTTTTTTAAAGGAACATTTACCAGCTGTTATTAAAATCCAGGTATTTTTGTTAACTAAACTAACAGTTTTGAATTGTCATGATACAAGCTTTGGAGAGTAGGACGTTTTTATAGGACAGCACTGTAGCACATTATGCAAAGCTAATAACAGCAATAATGATAATATTGAAAACTAGGTTGAAATTGTTGGCCTACTTCATTTCAAATTATTACAGCATGCAGGAAGTAATCTTCTGGTCAGCAACTGTCTTGAGATTGCTAGTTGAGTTCATGTATCAAAAGAAAGTCATATGTTTTGATTGTAGGCATTTGTTAGAGGATTTATTCAAAGACTGAAATACCAAACAAGGCTACAGGAACTGAGGAGTCACCCTGATGAAGTCATTAAGGTATGAATATTTAAGACAGACGTTTATTTGTGCAATTTAAATGCTTCTGTTACAGCACCACTAAACTGTGAATTCTGGCCTCTTGAAATGATTTCATCCTTCCACAATCAAAGAAAACCTTTTTCTTGTCCTTTTTATTTCCTTTATCAGTTCTGTTCATAGAAGTTGCAGTTTTTCCTATATATCTTTACACAGAATTATTGTAAATAGTCATATATCTTCATTCAATAGATTCAATCTTGGGTGCGCATGTGGATTGCCAGAAGGAAGTACCTAGAAAGAAGGAAATACTTCAAAGACCATGTGAGTGACCATGTGTAGTTGCCATTCTTTTTTTTGGAATGTGGAGGTCAGTCTTTTAGTTGTAGTATGGAGTCGTTACTGTTAATCAGTTGTGTATTACAATTTTTGTTTTCAACACCACAATTCTTGGTCCTCCACAAACCTAAAATAAAGAACACATTTAATTGTAAACTGTCTGAAACTCTCCTGGGCAGGGCTGTCCATATCTTGAAGTGATATTTTTAAAAAAAAGAAACTTGAAAAAAACAAAACAAAAGTTACCTCTTCTCTTGTTGTTGTTTTTATTTTACTTTGCGTCTTTCAACTAAAAAAAGCATTTAAATGAATAAATAAATGCCAGGGCCCGGTTCCTTGAAAGATGGTCAAGTTTAACCCAGGAGTAAGCCAAATATTAAGCAGGGTTTTCTTGTTTAAGAACATGCAACTCGAGCTTACAAAATACAGTTAAGCCTTTACCCCTAGATACTGTAAAAAAAAAACACAAAACGTTACTCTAAGCAATACATGGGAATGTAGAATACAAAAACGGGACAAAATTTTAATCCTGGATTAGTGCCAATTGGGCCCAGGATATCTGTAGAATTACCTGTTTGTTTTTGCTTTTTGTAGGATTCTGCAATAGTGAAGATTCAAGCATGGGTGAGAGCCAATGTGGCTCAAAATGACTATAGAAAACTTAGTAAGTGTTTTTTTTTTATCTCCTGCTATCACATCTACTTGAAATTATAAAGAAGGGGAGGGTCTAAGACAGGATATTAAAGACCTCTACAGTTTTCGTACATATTGTTTAATACATGCTGTTATTCACATTTTGGCATACTATTATGTATCTGATAAGTATAGGTTCCATGGAGGTCCATGTAAAATATTTCCTTTAGAGGGAAAATTCCCTGCATATGAGATTCAAACTATTGCAAGCTATGAATTCTGTTTTGTAGTTTTACCTTAGAGATACCATAACCGAAAAATCAACGATAAAAAAGTAACACAACGTTTTAACGTTTCGTTTCGATCGTTATCAGATACCATAACCACTATAAAATTTAATACAATCTTACTGTACTTTTACTTAAAGCCGGTAGTCTCTTAATTTTTGTTTTTTTTGTTGTTATTGTCACAAAGTTTCTATGCAAGATCCACCATGCAAGACTGTAAGAAAATTCCTTCATCTTTTGGAACACAGTGATGCTGACTTTGAAGAAGAGCTAGGTAATTCAGTATACAGGTGTAATATTTACTATGTACTCTACTGATTTCATCCAAGGACCATCTTTACAAGGATTCTGCCCAGATGTGATAGCATGATCTAATAGCATGTGTACAATATACTTTGGTTGAATTACTGACATTATGACCACATCAGGGGCCACCGGACGACAACTTACTTCTGCCCTTGGTTGACGGGGGAATCCTACTTTTGTTTAAAAATGTAAAGTTTCTTTTAGTTTTTGTCACAACTGCTGGAAAATTCTTCTTTGCAATGTTTTTGTGACATTTGACTAGAAAAACAAAACAGGACAAAAAAAAGGACAAGTTTGTATGACAGTTTTGCATAGAAAATCTTAGGTAGATTGAAGATTGGTATTGTTAACATTTGATGTGACTGACTCTACAGACCTTCAGAAGTTAAGAGCTCAAGTTGTAACAGAGATCAGATCAAATCAACAGTTGGAAAATGACCTGAATCTTATGGACATCAAGATAGGACTTCTTGTTCGGAACAGAATCACTTTACAGGTAATCAGATTTCTTCCATATTCGTGTTATCTTTCACAATAAACTCAATAGTTTTCTGTTGTTGTTGTTGGCGGTTTTCAGTGTTAACTTCTTAATTAAATATATGTTTGGCCATGAGTGGGAACAGTATTTCTTATAGTTGTTATTTTTGTGTGAGTAACCTGTAATAGTCTGTGATCTGTATGAAGTAAACTTCTTGTTGCTTTTAGGATGTTATACATCATGGAAAGAACTTGAAGCGTGAAAAACAAGACATGAGTACGGCTTTACAAAGAACAAAAGGAATCAAGTCTCTTAGTAAAGAGAGCCATGAAAAGCTAGAAGCTTATCAAAATTTATTCTACCTGCTTCAGACAAACCCAGTTTACCTAGCGAAGCTGATTTTTGCAATGCCGCAGAGTAAATTTACCAAGTTTATGGAGTCTGTTATATTGACATTGTACAATTATGCTTCTAATGCACGGGAAGAGTACCTGCTTGTGAAGTTATTTGATACTGCTCTCAAAGAAGAAATCATGTAAGTATAAATGTACATTCTTATTCAACATACTGGCAATACTATGACAGATGTCTTACCAAATTTTAAAGTATCTTCCTGAAAACAAGGTCACTGAGCTCAAAATAGGATTTTTAAAAGTAAAAAAATTTTGTATCTTGTACAGGGTTATGGTAAATTCTTTTTTAAAGGCGTTGTTGACCACTGTGGTTTGTTTTTCAGTTCAAAGGTGGACCAGATGCAGGACATAGTGACGGGAAATCCGGCAGTCATTAAAATTGTGGTACACTTTAACAGGTGAATTATAGAGAACGTTTTAGCCCTTTTTTTGCATCCACTTTATGATTCCCAGCAGGTCTTCTTGCTGTACACTACCTGTACAAAATCGTCTACAGTAATATTGATGTATGAAAATATGAATGTAGCACATATGCAGCTACAATCCCATCGTGACTCATGAAACGATCACTTTCTTCTCATACCAGTCTTTGTTCCGGTAGAATTTTTGTTACCCCATTGTTTCAAATGTGAGTTTGTACTTAGTATGTTTTATCCTTCTTTTATACAGAGGACAGAAGGGTCAGAGTTCGCTGCGTGAGCTACTGCAGCCATTAGTTGAAGGTGTTCTTAATGACAAAAACCTGTCAATAAATACCAACCCACTTGAAGTGTATAAAGCATGGATAAACCAAATGGAATCAGAGACTGGACAAGCCAGGTACAGTCCCCCCCTTAAAGTTCTAACTGCAAAGACTGCCTTTCCGAAAAGTATCAGAAAATAATTTTCAATACGTTTGGAGCTACAGGAGCATTTTTTGTATGGGTAAATGTACTATAGAATATAGCTATAAACCGTATTAATTCGTTCTTTTTATACTTTTTGTATTTATAGTAAGTTGCCATATGACGTTGAGCCAGAACAAGCCCTCAAACATCCCGAAGTGAGCTCCAGAATAGAGGCTGCTATGAAGAGTCTTACAACTGCAACAGATACCTTCTTGAATTCTATTCTTCAGTCTGGTGATAAAATACCGTAAGCACTGTTCTTTATCTTCATTTGTATTGAATGTAAAATCTAACTTGCTCGTCTTCTAGTGCTGTAATTATTTTATTTCTTATATATGTTTTTGTTGGTTACTAGTTATGGTTTAAGGTATGTTGCCATGTCTTTAAGAGTGGCTCTTGCCGAAAAGTTCCCAGAAGCGCCAGAGGCAGAGATATTGAAGGTAACATGGATATTATTTATAGAGATGAAAAAGTCGAACATTTCTGTGCTCAGCTGTGAGAAGTATGGTGATGGAAATTGTCTGTTTTCAGGTTGTAGGTAACCTGATCTACTACAGATACATGAATCCTGCTATAGTGGCTCCTGATGCATTTGATGTGGTGTCTTTTGGCGTTGACAAAGGCTTGACACCAGACCAGGTACGGCAGCGCACCTTCATATTTGAAAAAGAATATCATAGTTAAATAATCATCAACAAAGAAAAGCAACTGCCATGGAAAATCTACGTCTTCTTTCAACCTAAGATCATGGACAAATTCCTTAGGGCAGTGATGCAATATTCTTAATTATCAGTAATTCCAGGGTGCCTTCATAAAACAATGCTGTCTTTTTATGAGTACTTCAAGTGCAGTTGTCCCTTACCCCACCCCACCCTATACAATGTTCAAACTTGGGTAAAATTCTGGATACACGTGCCTAGCGTTGTTTGTGGGGTAGGTGTTGTGAATGTATGATTTGAAAAAAGCCCCACAAATACAAATTTGTCTCTTAAGACTTTTGTCCATGATTGTAGGATTCTCTTCCCCTTAAACTGCAAACTGCAATGTTTCATGCATGGGAATTTAACTAAGATTTGCATGTTTTGCTTTTCTCTCACAGAGACGAAATCTTGGGTCTATCGCCAAAATCCTTCAGTATTTAGCCTCAAATAAAATGGTAAGAAAGCTGTGACCGTCGATCATTCAGTTTAAGGAGAATTTGCAAAGTAATCGTCTCTGTGATTCCGAGACAGTTTGGCCCGCACCAACATGGCAATGGAAAGATCTTGAAAACAGAAACTCGGAGACCCCTGCACTTTTGGTGTCGGTGAACATCGTGCATTTTCTCAAACTTTCTTTATAAAACATCGTACATTTTTTTACAACTTAACTGGTAAATCCTGGAGTCCTTGTAGGTGGAGCGCTCTTGTCTATGCGAGTATAGACAATAGAAAATTACTGTCTACTTGTGGAATGCATCAAGCGCTTAAGGTGATACTAATGCCAGAATTGAATACCAGTTTAAGTATTCCTTCTATTGTTAATTGATTACTAAATGAAAGATGTTTTACCCAGTTAGGAAAACAGTCCAAAAACAAAGATATAGAAAAGAGTGATCTGGAACATCCTGAATCTGAGAATTCAACTGAATATGTTGTTGTTAGTACGCGTTGAGTTACACTCTTCCCAGTCACTCGCTTCAGTTTAGTGCATCAGCCTCCGCTATACACTTTACATAGCTGATTCAACAAAGGTTGCTTTGGGCATTGGGAATTCGCAACTGTGTATTGGGTATTTAGATATAAGGAACTCAGTGCAATGACTTGCTTAAGTGACCACCAAACAATAGATTCCCAGTGCGCAATTCCTAATGCCCGAAGCAACCTTTATTGAATCAGCTGTATAAAGTAATATTCTTACTTTCTTTCAAGGCTTAGCACCTTGCTGATTGCACAATCCTACACTTTATCTTATGACATTTTTACATTAATATCTTGTTTAGTTATAATGTACTAGCGGATATTTACATACTTAACAACAGCTCAAACAAACATGAAACGTACTTTTTTGTGCCTTGTAAAGCTTACGTAACGATCATCTTTGTGCTACAAAGTGGTGTAGGATAGTGTTTTTATTCCTGCTGTATTTGCGGTGTATGAATTTTTTTATCTTTTATAGAGCAGAAATAATACAATTAGGGATACCAATTGATTTGTTTATCGGTTTTCATTTTCATTTTATTAGTTTGGAGGGGAGAGTGCGCATCTTAGTCCTCTTAATGGCTACATTGCACAGGCTCACCAACGCTTCAAGTAAGTTCCATGTAAATCTCCTAAATCATTTCGTTTTATGAGACAAAAAAACACACCAGTTTAGATGTGTTTTTATTTTACCTTCATGTGTGTATTAAGAAAAATAGTTATGGGTGCTTCATTGTCATCTAGGGTGACGAAAGTCAATGCACCATACAAAGGCTTATAGTGAATGTTTTGGGTAAAAAGCAATATATCTTATGGCGTATTTGAGAACACAATAAGTGCGCACCATTAGCATCCAGCTTTTCCCAAGATTTTACTCTGATTGCAGTAACAACTAGTAAGGTGTCCTTTTTATAGAAAACTGTTCAGCCAAATAACAGATTTCATGTAAAGAGATTTGTCTATAAACTGTTGACTGATTCTTGTTTCTGCGTTGTGGTTTAGGAAGTTTTTCTTGGAGGTGTCAACAGTAGAGGAACCTGAGAATCATTTCAATATCGACGAGTACACAGATGTAGTGATGGTCACTAAACCGGTGATTTACATCTCAGTACAGGAGATCTGTGATACTCACACTTTACTGATAGATCACAGATATGAAATAGCACCTGATCCTAATGATCCTCTTCATGAACTGCTGGATGATCTTGGTGATGCACCCAGTGTTGAGGCCCTACTAGGTAGGTAACACTTCATAAACTGTTCACAGTGCTCTATTTATTCGAAAGATCTTCAGGATCGAGTGCTTACTGGTAAGGGCGGCCACCTTGATTTCATAATAGATATGAACCGAGGGGGCGGGCGTCAGGGTTTATCGCGGAAAGGGGAGGGAGGCGACAAAATATCTACCTCTATTTTTCTTTTCTATTTTACCGTCCCTCGCCCCCTGAACGAACAGTCTACAGAGGTCCGGGATCGACAAGGGACTATCGTAATGTCTCAGTAATAATAATAGCATTTATTTATACACGATAAAAAAGTACAGCAGGGCTGTATGAAAGTTTTAGGAAAATGAAAAAATCTAGAGAAAATTCTTTTTCTTGTCTTCTTCTTTTCTTTTTCTTTGTAAATAGCACTCGTGCGCATTCATTAACCAGGCTTACAACTGAATTTCATTAATTTTTGTTAAATGAATTATCGGGAGGAACAGCATTGGGGTTCTAAATTTCACGTCGTTTATTTTCGCAAGAACTATTTTTTCTTCGTTTCTCATTTTTTTTTTTTCGCCGTCTGTTTTGGCCGTGCGATCGCCATAAGTGTTTACTTTACGGCTGACATGTTCACTGTATCCCAATGCGTGTCAGCAGTGGTCATTTCAGTTCTGTTTATTTGAAGAAGACTTGTGTATCTATTTGATATTTTTTGGCGATAGGTGACATAGCACCAGTGAATGGAGAAGAAGGACTAACAGCACAATCAGCCAAAACGGAGATTTCTTTAACTCTGACAAACAAGTTTGAGGTACCAGATGATGACGACTCTGACATGAGAGCCTTGTTTGTAAGGTGAGCTCACTTAATCAATCTTGTAACTGCTGTGAGATGTGTAGGTATCACATCTGCGGGGCAGTGGTCTGTGTACTTTGCCAGTCAGATATTGAATGTTCGTGTTTTGTATCGCAGAACAAAAAGAATGATCGTTGATGTGCTTAAAGTTCAACCTGGTGAAAATCTTACAGAAATCCTTGAGACAACAGCAACTGATGAACAAGTGAGTCTTTTTTACATGTGCCACTTTGTTTCGAGATACTATCAAGTTCTTTGTAAAGATCGACACATCTATCCGACTGCGTACCATTTGTTAACTCGTTAGCCATTCTGTCACAGCATGCATTGTTTTTAAACTCTGGTAAAGCTAGCGTTTCATCTGCTTTATTTGGCAGGGGACACTCTCGCATGCAGACTGCAACCAAAAACAGTAAAAGTTACAAAATTGTACAACCTGTGTTCTTACTGTACTTAATCTGAATTTAACGAACGTCAGTATGCACTAATTTTACATGACAAAAAAAGAATTTGTTATGATGACGAGATTGTAAGCGATGGCTTAAGGCTTCGGAGAGTGACTGGTTTTAACATAACCAACAGAAACAGTTCCAGCCCCATTGACTGATTACGAAGTTTCGTTGTTTTGCTGATATATCAGTCTAGATCATCAGAGACCATTAATTGTATCGGACTGCTAACTACAGGTTGACTACTGGTAGAGGTAATTCATTCATCATTTGAATTTTATCACGTGACTGCTGCCTTTGTCCCAGGAAGAAGAACACACGCGGTTAATGAGGCTAAGAGAACTGAGCGATGAAAACAAGAGTAAGTCCCTCGGCAACGTGACAAGATCAGCCTCCGCTTACGGTGATACCAAGTATGTACGATGTGTTAAGTTACTTGCAAACGGACGCAACAACTCCCGAGATTGTTCGGCCACCAATGTTGGGAGTTGCTACGTTCGTATTGGCAGTGGTGTGCAAACGGATGCAACTCCAAGGAGACCATGTGTAATGCGTGTGCTTGGCCCCAAGAATGTTGGAAGAGCTTTAGGAAGAGCTGTGCAAACAGATCCAACATTATTGCGCTACGCTTCGGTGATCACGGAAACAAACGAAATGTTGGCCCAAAATTTTGACCAGTTTGAAATTTTGCGCAACAAAATGCAACAGGGTGTGCAAACGGACGCAACATGTAACATCCAAAAATGTTGGTAGTTATTGGCCATCAATGTTGCGTCCATTTGCACGGGACTTTATTCGTCTCATGTATTTATTACTCACCCGCCGCGGGTCTTCCCGCCACAAATGACACGAGTCTCCATTACAGAGCTGGGCAGTTATTAAGTAAAGTACTTTTACCTTATGCTGAGGTGGAGTAAAATCTTACGGAATAACCAGTCAGATAAATCATCTTTACCGAGACTTTCACTACAAATACTGTTTATGTATTTTTTAGAGTGAAATATGAAAATCTTTTCCCTGTTTAAAAACCACTTGCAATGAGCACCGTTGACATTACTCTTCTGCTTGCACCGCAAACGGCTTTACTGAAGTGAATTCTGTTGATCACTGAAAAAATGCGACACATTTACCCGTAAAGCCACAGTCAATGTTGGGTCTAGGAATAAAACATGCAAAGCGTCCTTCTTATTGGGGAATGTGTTGATATCTGTTTGATAGACTTGGGATTATTGTTTAGTCTGTTTCCTCACCAATTTTATTCTTGTTCTTGATATCATCATGTTTGTAACAGAAGGAAGTAATTTTCTTTTTTTTTTTTCTTTTCCTTTTTTTATTTCACAGGCTTCCTCTTGAAGGACTTAAAAGAAAGATTATTAGAAATCTACGGATGCTTGAAAGCCAAGGGGTTGTTACCATCAAAAATNGAACCAATCAAAACTCGAAGTAATTACATGTGGCTGACGCAAAGCGCGGGAAAATGCATGCGAGCGCGTCACAATTGGCTTTGGTTTTACTTCTGATTGGATGAAAAGGTGGCGCGAATCTTTTAAGCCAATCGCATCGTGTAGAAAGTGCAAAACCAATTACTTTTCGACACTCAAATGAAAACCGCTCTATTTGGTATCTTGTTTTCTTGTTACAGGACATCCGCAATCAGAGGAGATACCGTCAAAGGCGGAGACAAGAAAAAAAGAAACTTGGACAAACTTTGGAAAGCTTGCAGAACAAATCGCAGTTCTATGAGGAACAAATCGACTACTATAATCAGTACATTCGGGTGTGCTTAGATAACCTGGCCAAGAAAGGAAAGTAAGTTATTCATTGGTTTTAAACATTCTATTATGCCTTATACTCAGAGTGGGATGAGGTTGGATACAGTAGGGATCGGGGGCACGTAAAAGACTCGTTGTTTTGTTTTAATTTTAACATGTCCAGTTTCTTTCAAGGATAGTCGCTTATTGCGACTGCCGTGCTACATTCTTTATAGATTTTTCAAGTTTCGTCAAATGGGAAAAGCCAGCCCCAAACCTATTTTTCACCGAACTTGACACTTTAGCTATTTTGAGTTGTTTAACTGGGAGGAGCAAGTTTGTTAATAACCTGGTTTGTTGAATAATTTGCTAGAAAACCTTCAAGAGCCAAACAGCAAAAAGGAGAAGTGTTCCGCGGAGAAATCAAGTACACCGCGCAGAGACTGTACGAGAAGGGAGTTATACTTGAGATCGAAGGACTACCACCAGCGCAGTTAGTAAAAACTTCGATTTTTATTAAATAAGTGATAATGCTACAATCAAGGCCAACGATGGTCTTTGACCGCTTTAACCGGGATGGGAACCATAGACTGTTTTACGCTGGTCATGTTTTCGGGTTCTAGAATTAATCTGTATTAAAATTTCTAACTGTGGAATCTCATGCGAGGTTTGCAACCTTGCGTTATTTCAGAACAACGTCAGTTTTAGTTTTTTTTTCTATTGTTTGTTAGCCCTCTTCGCTTTTGCCTTTTTTGCGTTCGAAGACAATGAACATAAGACTTCCTCTCGTTTTAGGGTGTATACTTTATTTGTTTTTAAGTTTAGGAACGGATTGCTGTGTTTCTGTTTTGTCTATGATGTGCTTAAGTGACGCAGATGTGTTATTTGTCCATCAGGTTTAAAAATGTCATGTTTGAGATCAAATCAGCCGATGAAGTCGGTGTGTTTGTTGTGTCTGCTAAATTCATGGGTGTGGCAATGGAGAAGGTAGAATTAGTTTTCCAGGTAAGAAAAAATAACTCTCTTCTGTTTAGTATGATTTCATCAAGACTTAATTCAATCACACTTTAACAGTCTGTTTCTTCTGTGTCATAAACACTATTTGATGTTAAAAGCAAAGTATTTCGACAACCGTTTTCACTACAGTTTGAATTTGATGACCTTTTCCAAATCGCTTTTAGTTGGGAAAGGAGCCTAAAAATAATATGAATCCAGGTGTACCCTCGTAAGTTTAGCAGTATATATATAAACGCAAGAGACTGGCTTCCTTCTCAGGTTATTTTGTTGTTCTTTTGACAGGACTTGCTCCAGCTTCAATACGAGGGCGTAGCAGTTATGAAAATGTTCGGTCGAGCCAAGATAAACGTGAACTTGCTGATCTTTTTGTTAAACAAGAAATTTTACGGCAAATAGATAACGCACGGATTACTTTAAGAACATTAACAATACTTACGCTGTGAAAAATTCCAGTACACAATAATTATTGCACTGCAAGCCTGTGCGCGGACGTAAACAACACACGCTCATAGCAGCGTCTAAAGAGGGATACATATTAGCTGTGTATATTATCGGCGATGTCACTATTTTACGGCGATTTGATGCAGTTTTGAGATCTTTTTCAATTAGTCAAAACCCCGACTGTTTTCGAGGTCCTGAGGAAGTACGCAACGCCGTCGTTGGATCAAAATCGTTAGCAGATCGCCGTGAAATCCAATTATCCGTCTTGTTGTTGCAGTATAATTAAATCGCCGTATCGATAATGGCCTTTACTTAGACTATGTCCTAGTAGTGTTTACAAGTTGGTATTATGGAAGATGTAATTAGTAACGCCTTACATTCGCGGGGTTACCCTTTATTGGCTGAAATAAGGGGGGGAAGGGAGGGGACAATAATAGTGAGACTTTAAAGTAATGTTTTAGAGGACGGATAAGAAGAGGAGCTGCGAGGGTTTAGGTGGGGCGGGGGGGGAGGTGGGGTTACACACACACTGCAGCTCAGATAACTCTTAATCCGTCCAACTGGGTATTCATAAAAGGTCCTTCATGTCGTGTTTTTCTTCTTGTTGATTGGGTTACGGGTTACTTAAACAAAGCCTGTAGATGTCTTTATTTTTCTTTATTTCTATAGGGGTGGGCTTCGGGTGCATTAACGAGACAATTTAAACCTCACGTTATCACGTGCAATGACCGTTTCCAGTTTGAATTAGAATGAGAATTATTTTTAGAAGTGTTTGGATCCGAATGCTGTGTTAAGATTGTAGAGAAGAGGGAAGCACAATTGAATATTAAATTCTTCCTCTTCGCGCCGCTCTTCAGTACAGCTTATGGAAACGGAATATTAATATATAAGGGTATAGTTAGTTCACAATTCTGCCTTATCGAATATGGGGACACTTGACGAGCAATATTTCTTGGAAGTCAGTGGGTTTTATTATGACAACCCTTTTTAAGGGTTGTGTAACAGTCGTTGATTCTAAATAACTAACTCATTTTAGTTTTCATCTAAAAATATGGAATACCCAACTGATAAAACTGCATTCTATTCTTTAGCTGCCATACGACCCTTTCCTTCATTTAATAAAGTAGCAGCATTTCTAATGTCTTAATGCCTTGATTATATTGTTATTATTGCAGTTGTTTCTATTAACAAGTTGAGAATATTTAACAATTACCCTCCGTGGAGTCACCATTTGCATATCTCCCATAATGAACCTTTTTTCAACCTTCCCCCCCCCCCCCCCCCCCCCCNATTGAATATTAAATTCTTCCTCTTCGCGTCGCTCTTCAGTACAGCTTATGGAAACGGAATATTAATATATAAGGGTATAGTTAGTTCACAATTCTGCCTTATCGAATATGGGGACACTTGACGAGCAATATTTCTTGGAAGTCAGTGGGTTTTATTATGACAACCCTTTTTAAGGGTTGTGTAACAGTCGTTGATTCTAAATAACTAACTCATTTTAATTTTTCATCTAAAAATATGGAATACCCAGCTGATAAAACTGCATTCTATTCTTTAGCTGCCATACGATCCTTTCCTTTATTTAATGAAGTAGCAGCATTTCTAATGTCTTAATGCCTTGATTATATTGTTATTATTGCAGTTGTTTCTATTAACAAGTTGGGAATATTTAACAATTACCCTCCGTGGAGTCACCATTTGCATATCTCCCATAATGAACCTTTTTTCAACCTCTCCCCCCCCCTCCCCCCAAAAATGCAGCATTGTCTTCAATTTCTCCCGGGACCACTGTAATACCCAGGAGAAATTAAAAACAAAGGTTATGCAAAACTTTAGGAGGCAAACAAGTTGTATTATGGGAGATATATAAATGGCGAGTAGCGAAATGCTAAATAAACGTCATTCAGAAACGTACAATTTTTCATTGAAGTGATAATCAGAGTGTTCCACTCTGCACAGAAAGGCTAAATCTACCGAGTCTCAAGTAACAAGATCGTTATTTTAAACAACTAAGAATCCCCTTAAGATATTCATCCATTGACTTCTTGGAAGATTGTAGTTTAATAATAACGCTGGTTTTAACCAGGTCATAAAACGTTTAAAGGAGCTCAGTCCTGTACGGTTAAAATTTCTTTGTCCATCTGCTCTTCCTCCCAGGATAAGGCTATCTTCACAGGGTTCACATCCAGTAAGTTGTCGCTGTACCAGTAACTAAGGACATGCAGCGAAGGAACTCGTTCGTGTGGGGGATTTTAGCCTCTTATCCTAATGAGGTGTTGATATGGACTCCAGTAATCTAGTGCCATTTATAATAGCTGTAGTAGCGACAATAATTCGACAACCTTATAGAAGAAACCAAAGAACAAGCTAAGAGTCAACAAAGGAAGAAGACGATTGAAGCAATTACTTGGAGGCGATAAAGACCGCTCCTAAATTTTGAAAACAATGAAATTTGAGAGAAAATGAACCCAATCTACATTGTTCAGTCGCGTGTTGCAGGTGTAGGACTGGGTATCGATGGCTCAGTGTTGCTTGGTAACTCTGTGATAGAGTTAAGTTTCTAATAAAATTGAAGGGCTGCGGCGGTTAAAGAGTGAAACAGAAAATTTGGTTGAGCTGACAAGTAAATTTCCCACCGTAAGGAGAACAACCCAGAAGTAGCTTGGAGTAGTAGTATGGGGCGAGNCAGAGTGTTCCACTCTGCACAGAAAGGCTAAATCTACCGAGTCTCAAGTAACAAGATCGTTATTTTAAACAACTAAGAATCCCCTTAAGATATTCATCCATTGACTTCTTGGAAGATTGTAGTTTAATAATAACGCTGGTTTTAACCAGGTCATAAAACGTTTAAAGGAGCTCAGTCCTGTACGGTTAAAATTTCTTTGTCCATCTGCTCTTCCTCCCAGGATAAGGCTATCTTCACAGGGTTCACATCCAGTAAGTTGTCGCTGTACCAGTAACTAAGGACATGCAGCGAAGGAACTCGTTCGTGTGGGGGATTTTAGCCTCTTATCCTAATGAGGTGTTGATATGGACTCCAGTAATCTAGTGCCATTTATAATAGCTGTAGTAGCGACAATAATTCGACAACCTTATAGAAGAAACCAAAGAACAAGCTAAGAGTCAACAAAGGAAGAAGACGATTGAAGCAATTACTTGGAGGCGATAAAGACCGCTCCTAAATTTTGAAAACAATGAAATTTGAGAGAAAATGAACCCAATCTACATTGCTCAGTCGCGTGTTGCAGGTGTAGGACTGGGTATCGATGGCTCAGTGTTGCTTGGTAACTCTGTGATAGAGTTAAGTTTCTAATAAAATTGAAGGGCTGCGGCGGTTAAAGAGTGAAACAGAAAATTTGGTTGAGTTGACAAGTAAATTTCCCACCGTAAGGAGAACAACCCAGAAGTAGCTTGGAGTAGTAGTATGGGGCGAGCAAAATTCACCCTTTTTCCGGAGGAATGTAATAACATTGACAAAGCCTGGAGAGTGGTTTGCTTTCTCTCATTATTATTATTATATATCAACTATTTACGCGCTTTATAGATTCAATGAATCGTAACCAAGGATGATAGATGCAAGACCTGGTCACAATGGTCTCACCAGTGTGAGAAGGGCTCAAAAGACGTTTTCCTTTCCACTACCACAAAAATTAGGTAACTTTATAGCTGGGTCAGAACTTACCTAACTTTCTGGCTAAAAGCCTGATGGCAGAGATCTCTGAGAAGGTGCAGCCACCGAGAAACATAACTAGTTTACACTTTGATCCTCCTGGATAGGTATCGTTTAAATTAGAATCTGAAGAGAAAAAGAGAGAAGGAAGTAAAGGGAAAAAAAATATAATATATAACGATTTAGAGGCAGCACATCAATATGGTGATTTTCGTCTACCATTCCTCGTCGAATTGGAATTAGAAAATGTTGGCTTTTGAGGAGAGGAGAAAATAGCAGTAACCGGAGAAAAACTTCTCTGGACAAGGGAAAGAACCAACAACAAACTCAACCCACATAAGGTGTCGACACCGGGTTTTTGAACCCGGGCCAAACTGATGGGAGGGGAGTGCTCTCACCACTATGCCAGACTTAAACCCCTGAAATTATTCTACAAGGGTTACTATTGATTATTACATGGTCATTGTACAGAAGCTGCGTCTCTCTGTAATGGGGAAAGAGCCAAGAAAAGTGAAAGGAGCTAAATCTCTTGATTTACAATCCCAAACGCAAGGAAATCAACTTACGTCTCGCAGAGAGAGGCATCTGGGAAGAGAATACACTGACACCCAGCAGTCTGGACATCTCTTCAAAAGCAGAAAATCCATTCGACAAAACCTTAATGAAAACGGAGTTTCAGGCAATGGTATTCTCCAAGTCGAAGTAACATTGCTCTTTTATCTTTCTTTTAATTGTTTTTTAATATACTTTACCGGAAATGGTCAAATTAAAACACTGAATTTTAATTTTACTACAACAGACCAGTTTGAAATACCCAAATTATATTTGTCCATCCCTCAATAACTCAATATTTTGAATTGCAGGAAAACAGCAAAGTGCCAAAAATCCGGTGGATATTCTCTCCGAATCCCTAAGTTATCGCCTAACGCAATTCATCTTGCTCTTTTGCACGATCCGTTTTTTATAATGTTGAAAAGGTATTTTTTAAAAAAGAAAATGTTTAAGGACATTGTCCAAGAAAACAGCATGATGAAAAAATATTCTCAAGACTTGCATGTTAACAAAAGGAAATTTTGTCAGTAATTTCCCCTTCTCTCTGTAACCTTATATTCATGTAACAGGCTTACCTGTTCCAAAAGTCTACAGGAAATCGGTGTGTACGCACCACTAAATACATAGGCCATATCTTGCGGCTTTTTGAGATCGATTTTATCCCCATCTTTTGGCACCTGTTGATATAACAAAGTCTTAATAAGCTATCACCCACGGGACCAATTCT